AGCTCCTTGAACTATCTGGTAGCAAAACATAATTTTTATGCTATTAGGAGTCAATGTTGTTAAGTGCTGTGGAGTCAGTTCTGACTCATAATGACCCTGTATAGGGTTTCTGAAGAGCAGCTGGTAAGCTTGAGCCACCGATCTTGTGGTTCAAACCGACTTTCCAGTCCAGTGCATTAACCCACAGTACCCCCACCCCCCCAGGGCTCCATTTTCTATACAGAAGATACTATAACAATTGTCCATTCCTGTGCAAACTGCTAAAGCATTTATGAGCATTCACTCAAGAGCTGCCATACTGTGACAGATTATGTATATACACAAATCACAACCAAAATGAACAACCTACAGATTTACTTACAAAAGATCCCTTAAGGGTGAAAGTAGCAGCTTGTTGGGACACATTGAAATAAGGAAGGAAGGGTCGTATACAGGCAGAATGTTTATGGCTCTAAGGAAGAAAAAGAATTAAGCATGTTAGCCAAATGTTGTAAAATGCATCTGGGGGGCTAAAAAAGTTAAGTAGTTAATGCCACAATATTAACAAAATGGTATTCATTAAGTTAAAAAGTGAGTTTGTTTCAAAAATAAGTTAATGAATTACACAAAGACTTACCTCTAACATATATTTATTAAAATGCCTATTCTGTGTGCCTAAAATAGCAGCTGTCAGCAGGTCAATTCTGACTCTTGGCAACCCTAAGTGTAGCAGAGTAGATGGTGTTCAAAGGCTGATTTTTAGTAGGTGATAGCCACGCCTTAGTGTTTCCAAGGCACTTGAGTGAACCCAAACCAAGTAGTTGGTTAGCAATTAGCACATGAAACATTTGCAGCACCCAAGGACTCCTCCGCTGCATGCTCTAGTCAAAGCCAAACCTGGTGGTATTCTGACGAAATCAAATCTTAAATTCAAAGCTAATCTCTAGCAATATTCTATGGCACATGAGTTAATTTTTTAATTATAGCTCTTGTTTCCAAGTAAAATACATGAAACGAAAAGCAAAAGTTTGAAATATTTTCACTAGCAAAGCATCTCATCTACCTACTGCCTGCAAATACACAATGCAATCATAAATACACACTACAAACTGCCAGGGGAGTCCTAGGGTGGCACTGTGGGTTAATGTGTTGGACTGGAAGGTCGGTCTGAACTGCAAGATCGGCAGTTCAAGCTCATCAGCTGCTCCTCAGAAACTCTAAACAGGGTTGCTATGAGTCAGAACCGACTCGACAACACTTGGCAACATTATTGTTAAGTGTTTTCCAGTTGGTTCTGACTCACAAGAACCCTGTATAAGGTTTCCAAATCTGCTAATCTTTGTGGGAGCAAAAAGCCTCATCTTTCTCCTGTAGGGTGACTGGTGGGCTTGAACAACCAACCTTGTAGTTCATAGTCTAGTGCTTATCCTATAAAGCCACTACTGCATTCCCATATTATAAATGCTGTTATTAAGTACTGTCGAGTTGGTTCCGACTTACAGTGTCCCTATATAGGGTTTCCAAGGAGCAGCTGGTGGGTTTGAACCACTGACTTTGTAGTTAGTAGATTAGTAATTATCCTACAGCGCCACACAGGATTACAAATAGTCCCAAATACAGGACTTTTCAAGAGCTCAAAATCCATGAAAGAACAGACAATATCTTAAAAGATTTCAGGAAAACAATGCAATAGCAATAAAATAACTAGACAGCTAGAACTATAAAACAGCAACTAGAAATTCAGAATGTTGTTGTTATGTACCATCAAGTTTACTCCAACTCACAGCAACGTTGTATAAACTAGATATACAACCCAGCTAGTTGACCAGAGTAAGAGCTATGGCGAGCCTTCTGGGCTTAGAACACACACCTCCAACAGTGACCTCAAAAAGGACTTCAGTAAATCAATCAATCGGAATTTAACTGGAGGCTGTGGAGCAATGAGAGCCCAAGACATTTCTGAAAACAACACAGCAATTAACTAGCAATTAGTGACACTCACTTATCAAGGAGCTGTGGTCCAGAAAACCAGAGAGAGCGCTGGGGAAACCGCTGTTCTCTTAGCATGATGGTGTGTGGGAGGACTAGGAGCAAGGGACCATGAGGGAGTATAAAAAGCACACGTACAACACGTTTGCTGTCTTGACTGTTGTGATGTTGATCATACACACATTTTAAAACTTATGAAACTGCACACTTTTTGTTATTTAAAATGTGCCACTTATTGTATATATGAAGGAGATGAGCTGACATGGTGCCAGCGATGGTGGGTTTAACCGTCATAACAGTGCGGATGGCACAGGACCGGGCAGTGTTTCGTGCTGTGGTGCACACAGTCCCGATGAGTCGGAAATGACTGAACGATACCTAGCACAATAACAACATTTATTATACGTCAATTACATCTGTGTCAAGCTGGCACAGGAGTCCTGATGTGGCGCTGTAGGATAAGCACGGGACCTCAAGGTCAGTTTGAACTCCAAGGTCAGCAGTTCAAACCCACCAGCCACTCCTCAGAAATCCTATACAGGGTTGCTATGAGTCCATACCGACTCAACAGCATTTAACACCACCACCAGCAAAAGCAGTTGAAAACGGAAAGGTGTTGAGGTTTGTTATTCTGCTATTTTTGCAGTCCTAAAGAAATGAATCCAATTGCAACAACAAAACTTTACCATGGTTTCAATGATGATGGTGAGGTTGCCTAAACCATCAGTCAGAGCTACGTAGCTTCCTCCTTTCTCTAAATGTCCAACTGTCTTCAGATAAAACCAACCTGGCTGCGTAAATTGAGTAGTATGAGCTACAGAAAAACAGAAAGACCCATATAAGAAAATAATAATAATAATAATGCTTCTTTTTGCTAAAGGGAGGGGCTGTTTATGATCTTGGAGTTATTCTATAACTCTCTGAACATGGATGCGTAACGGATTTTTACCCACTGTCATCAAGACCCCATAGGACAAGGTAGAACTGACCCATAGGATTTCAAGACCATGAATGTTTATAGAAACAGACTGCCTCATCTGTTTCCCCCACAGAGCAGCTGGTGGGTTTGAACCTTTCAGTCAGCAGCTCAACACTTAACCACACTTAATCCATCAGGGCTCTGGTAACTAACTGCCATCAAGTCAATTCTGACTCATAGTGACCCTGTTTAGGGTTTCCTAGGCTTCCAACCTTTGAGGAAAGCACAAAGACACATCTTTCTCCCTCAGAATGGCTGGCAGCTCAGACCACCAACCTCGTGGCTTATCATATGGAGCCACCGGATTCCCCTGGTAACTGGCAGATAAGCAAATTTTGTCCTGTCTGGTGAGATTGTAATTGATTTCCTCTCTGCTGCAAAGAAAATCAGTTAGGTTTTAATTTGCAATTCATCTCAAACTCCTTTGCTCCATACAAATGTGTGCTTCTCCTTAGAACTAATTAACAACCGCTGGTGGTCTCCCCCATATTATATCAGTAATAGACACCCTTTAACGTGTGTTCATTGTTAGAGCTGTGTAAGAGTCAGGATTTTTCCTTTTTTCTAGTAATTATCGTTTAACAATACACATCTGAAAGTTTAGGCCACAAGTGAAACAATGAAATTTTATCTAACTTTTACATGCACGTATTCATTTAATAATGGAATAAATACAGTATTTGTTATTCAACTAACGAGTATACTTTACTCACCTTTGTTTTGATAGCGCAGTATTCGAATCAAAAAAACTATACTAGTCTGAAAGAGTGCAGTGCCCCCAGGATTTTCAATCACCTTTTGATACTCTGAATAGCAATGTTCTTGTTGTATGAGGCGCCAGCAAGGTGCTTCTGAATCACAGCGACCCTATGCACAACAGAAAGAAATGCTGCCCGGTCCTACACCATCTTCCTAAGAGTTGTTAGGTTTCAGTCCATTGTTGCTACCACTGTGTCAATCCACCTTGTTGTTGTTGTTGTTGTTGTTGTTGTTGTTGTTGGGGGGGGGCGGTCTTCCTCTTTTTTTGCTGAGCCTGCACTTTCCCAAACAAGATGACCTTCTCCAAGGACAGGTGCCTCCTAACAACAGGCTCAAAGTACGAGAGACAGTCTCTCCATCCTAACTTTGAGGCGTAGGAAGCAATTGAAAATGCTATGGCTTGGGTCAGGCACATCTTAAATCTTCAAACTGACATCTTTGCTCCTTAAGACTTTAACGAGGCCTTTGGCAGCAGATCTGCCTAATGCAGTACATCCTTTGATTTGTTGGCTATTACTTCCATGAGCATTTATTGTGGATCCAAGGAAAGTGAAGTCTTCGTCAAGTTCAATCTTTGTTCCATTTATTATGATATTATTTATTGGTCCAGTGGTGAAGACTTTTGTTTCATTTACCTTGAGGTACAAAATATACTGAAGGCCGTAGTCTTTGATCTTCATCAGTAAGCATTTCAAGTCCTCTTCAATTCCAGCAAGAAAGGTTGTATATCACCTATGTATTGCAGGTTGTTAATGAATCTTTGCCCAATCCTTATGCTATGTTCTTCTTCATAAATCCAACATCTCAGAATATGTGCTCAGTATGCAGACTGAATATTATGGTAAAAGGACACACCCTGGAACACAACTTTCCTGATTTTAAACCATTCAAGATCCCTGTGTTCTATTCGAATGTCTGTCTCTTGGTCTAGATACAGGTTCCTCAGGAGCACAACTGTTCTAGAATGCCCATTCTTTGCAATGCTATCCATAGTTCGTTATGGTCCATATTGTATTGTATGAACTGTAATGAGTCTTTTCAAATATGTGATTTTATTAACACTAATCATAATTTGTAATTATGTATTTAGATGATTATTTGGTTCTCCATCACAGAGTTCAGCGAGGACAGAGATCATGTCCTTTTCACTCACTTCTATAAGTCCAGGACCTACCTCAATTCCAGTAGGCAGGAGACAGCAAAAATACTTGCACTAAAACTAAATACTGTTGAACATTAATTACTGATGGGCACTGATAACTGGATTATACACCCTCCTTGTCACTGGTGCTGTGGATGAATGTGCTGGGCTGCAAAGTCGGTTTGAACTGAAAGCTGGTTCAAACTCACCAGCTGCTCCTCAGAAACTTTACACAGGGTCGCTGTGGTACAGACCTGACTTGACAGCACTTAACAACAACAACAACAATCATCTATAATGGGATACAAAAGGCAGTAGAGTGGTGGTATTGGAGGATAAGCATTGGATTGCTAACTGCAAATTCAGCAGTTCAAACCCAATGGCCACTTTCTGCTCCTATAAATATTTACAGCCTCTTAGACATGCTACCCAGCGTCACTATGAGTAGAAATCAAGTAGAAGTCAGGGAGCTTGAGAACTAAGTAAAAGGCTCTTATAAAAACACTCTTGTACATCTTGCTTAAACCAGAGATACTGTAGACACACACAAACATATATGCGTGCATGTGCACACAAACACACAACACACACATATACACTAAGCTTGTGTGATTCCCCTCTAAGTCTTTGCTGCTTTCTCTCTGGGAGAGGCATTGAGGGAATGAAAGGAGAAATCTGAGCCATACCTGATATCCAAATAGGAAGTTCTACTGTATAGTGTCCACTCCACGGCTCCTGAGCGGTCATCAACCCACATCTCCCATAAGGTAACTCTTCATAGTAACTAGCTACCAAATTCCAAGCGATTGTGCTAAAAAAGATTTGGTTGATAAAAGAGAAACACCAAAACAAGTTGTGATAAAAAGATACATCTAGAAGTCTGTAGTAAAAAGTCCTTATGACAGTTCAGGAATAAACAACTAACTATTGACCACCCAATGTAAGTTGCCTTATTTTCACTCACAATTTGAAAATCCCAGATGTTTCTAGATATGTTCACTGGAGCATCACATCATGAGAAAGTAATGTGTGACACAAGGTTTCCACTGAACAATGGTGCAGCCAGATGATGGCACATGCCCTACTCGTTGTGAGCAGGCCACAGATCTGACTCAGATCCAGATCTGCTTTCCTTTCCACTGTCAGTCTTCTTAATGCCCCAGTTTCATGAACTTGACTCTGAACTGTTCCAAACTTTTATCATTGAGAACTCAAGTCTTAGAGTCAGACTGCCTGGGTTCAAATCATGGCTTCACCACTTAACCTCTCTGGACCTCAGTTTCCTCATCTGTAAAATGAGGGCAGTAATTGTTCCTAGCTCATGTGATGCTGTGAGGACTGAAGGTATTAAAACACAGAAGTGCAGAGGAAGGGCTCCACTCCAGGATCTGCGGTGATTTGGCTACACTTACCAACTCTAATCGGCTCCAGCCTGCTGGTCTGCTGTCTCAGTCTATCCTTTCAGATGATCAGGCCCTAACAGTCCAGAGCAGTTGCCTGTACCCTAACATTATGGCTTCATGGTTCTCGGGAAAATCCAAGGGAAGGCCATGAGTTTAGTTGGGCAAAAGGGAAACTCTGGAGCCTGGTACTTGAAGCAACTCAGAGTTAAAGAGCCAAGCTTACCCACAGACATTTTCCTTATCAAGTCTTTATCCATCAAAAAATGAAAGAATGATGTCACTAGAAAACACAAGTCTTTTAATTTGGCTAACACAACATGGAATAAGATATAGTCCCAATTTTCAGAAAACTTTGCTATCAGTGGAAATATTAACAACCGCTTCTCTGAATTTGACTCCCAGTTTACCAGCTGATTGGAAATACGTATCCTCTCTTAACAGTGACAGGAGTATAAATTCAGACAAACTTCCAGGTGGGCATTTTGTAGTATGTATTAAAAGTTTTCCAAAAATATATAATTTGGATCCAGCTATTCCTTTGATAGGAATAAATCCTAGGGAAACAGTCATAGATAAGTATCAAGATATTGGTATACAAATGTTTCATTTCAGTTTGCACAAAGCTGTTAGTTAGAAAATAAAAGCAAAAACAATTTCCATTTCTAGCAAGGGGGACTACTCAAAGAGGCCCAATCTGGTTTCTATATCAGTGATACCACACTTGCATATGACATCAGAACCACTGGGCCCTGACCAGACAGACAGGAATCCCTGGAGCCTCCGCTGCATTTCTGAATCAGCAGGTCCTGGCAGCTGCCAAGGAATCAGTATAACACCTCAGGTGCTCACTGAGAGGCAAGAAGGCAAGACTGGGAATTTCTGTTTTATGTAATACACAGGGTACACATAAGCAGAAAATTGAAGCAGAAATAATAAACTTAAATATGTCTTGTTGAGTAAAACACAGCAAACTAGATTATATGTTATAGAATCAATTCTATATTAAAAATTCATACATGTAAATATAAATTAGAAGGACATATACCAAATTTGGGAGTCCTGGTAGGGTGCTGTGGGTTAATGCACCAGACTGCAAAGCCGTTTGAGCTGCAAAGTCAGCGGTTCAAGCTTGGAAACCCTATACAGGGTCACTATGGGTCGGAACCAACTCAACGGCACTTAACAACAACAACAACAACAAATTGATTAAGGGTGGGTATTTCTGGATGGAAATATTATGGGAATTATACTTTCTTCTTTGTCCTTATTTGTCATTTCTAACATCTGTACCATGAATATAAGGAGTTCTGGTAGCGTAGCTGTTACGAATCAGGCTGCGAACCGCAAGGTCAGCAGTTCAAAACTACCAGCTGTTCTGCAGGAGAAAGATGAGGCTTTCTGCTCTCATAAAGATTTAGGAGCCTCAGAAACCCTGTACAGGGTCGCTATGAGTCAGAACCGACTCCACTGCACTTAACAACAACAACAACCATGAATATGAATTACTCTTGCAACAATTTAAATTCCTATAGCAAATCATCCTTGACAAGCATCTTTTCTTTCAAAAAGAAATGGATGGGTCTAGTAAAAAGAGACGGGGATAAGATTCTTATGATTCGATAGTGAGTAATTGTTATCATGACTAATTGTGATTGTCACAATTGTAAAGATAGAAGTTTTGTAACAAAAATGGGGAAGCAGTTCATCTTACAGTCCAAATCAGAAGACCCTAGGATTATCACGGGAGAAGAGCACAAGCAAAATGTGGGACCTTATCCAGAGAAGCAGCGACACCAGAAATGGAGGCAGAGATGGGGACATGGAGACAGAAAGAAGCTGAGGACTCTAGAGTCATGAAAAGAGAGGGACTGAGAGATAGTGGCCAGGAGGCAGAATGTGCCCTTTGGTGGTGTAAATTATTTTACGTGCCCTTTGGTGGTGTAAATTATTATACATGCCTAAGTGTTTAAAAAAAAAGAAGAGCTAATACGAATACAGAGAAATACTGTTAACTGATGGTACATGGAGGGGATTATAATCATTGTAATGAAACAGAGTATATGTTTTGTTTAATGTAAAACTGATGATCTGCCCTGTAAACTTTTACTCAATTTACAAGGAAAATTTTAAAAATGGAAAACAATTGAAGGCTAGCAGAATATATCAATTTACATTAACATCACTCAAGTATGCTTCTCTTGCTTTTCCTCTGATATCACTATTTTACAATGATCAATTAATTGTAATTACAATTGAAGTGTTTCCCTTCAAAATAGAGTTGAGTTCCCCCTTAACCTTATTTAGACCAGGGGTGGGGAACATCTGGCCTGCAGGCCCTATAAGGCCAAGATATCATGTGGTCTGGCCCAGCCAAGGCAACCACAGGCAGAGTTCAAAATTCAATAAATCTAGGAGCTGTTTTCATAGCAATAGAAATTTATATTAAGTGATGTCACATATATCCAAATGGCCCTTGGCAGAAAAAAATTCCTCACCCCTGATTTGGAGTCCTGGTATGGTGCTACAGGTTAATGAGCTAGACTCCCAGGTCAGTTTTGAACTGCCAAGGTCAGTGGTTCACACTCACCAGCTGCTCCTCAGAAGCTCTATGCAGGGTCGCTATGAGTCAGAACTAACACAACAGCACTTAACAACAATAACAACAACTCCCAGTTGTTATACAAGTCACACAAGTGATGTTTTAAGGAATGAATCAGGCCTAACTTGGGGCCTGGTCTTTATTTAAAAAAAAAAAAAAAAAATCAAGTACATTAAAAAATGAAGAAGGAAGGAATCTTTTAGACATTAAACAACTCAAAGGGCATAATGGCTATTTGCAATGCGTGATACTTGCCTGAATCTTGGTTAAAAATTAACAACAGCGATAAATGACACTTTGGTGGATAACTAGGAAAACTCTGAACATAGATTATGTCTTTGAAATATTGTCACAGGAGAAAATGATACTGTGATCATGTAGGAGATGGTCTTTATTTGGGGGGATGCTGGATAAAATAGCAAGAGTGAGGAATGATTCATAATTCATTAGAAATAGATGTTGTTAGTTGTCATCAAGTTGATTCCGACTCCTGGAAATAGTTATAGCTTGCCAAATACTATTCAACAGCATGGCTTTTATGATGTATACATTATAGCTCAGTGGCTGTGGTGGTTATGCGCTGTGGAGTCGGTTCTGACTCACAGTAACCCCATATAGGGTTTCCGAGGCTGGAAATCTTTACGGGAGCAGAAAGCTTCCTCTTTCTCCTGTGGAACGGCTGGTAGTTTTGATCTGCTGACCTTGAGGTTAACAGCCCAACAATTAACTACTACACTACCAGAGCTCCTTAAAGCTCAGTAAACCTGGTCATATACAGAAGTACGGGTAGATATAGATTTGGTTTTGTTCTGTTAAGTGTCATCTAATCGGTTCCAACTCATAGGGACCCAAAACAGGGTCGCCACGGAGCAATCGGTGGGTGGTTCGCAGTCCAGTGCTGACCCTACAGCACCACAGCAGGAGTCCAGATTTTCTTTTTTTTTCGAAGTAGATCACCAGATGTTTTTTTCCTAGGTGCTTCTGTGTGAACTTGAATCTCTAACTTTGAGTTAGCAGCCAAACACGTTAACCATTTGTAACAGCTGAGGAGTTCTTTATAAATACCTAGATACAGATGAGGCGACAAACAAGATTAAAGAAAATCTGTCTACAATAAAAAGGAATTGCCCCTTCCCCAACTCCTGAACCTAGATATAGATTTTGTTGCTGATGTTAAATGCCATAGAGTCGGTTCCGACCCATAGCAACCCTGTATAGGGTTTCCGCCAACCTTGGGGTTCAAACTGACATTGCAGTCCAGCACATGAACCCACAGCGCTACACCAGGGCTCCAGAAATAGAGTAGGTATAGATATACAAGTCCTCAAAGTCGAATTTTCAAACTCCAGATACTGAGTTGGTGTTGGTGTTAAGTGCCATCGAGTTGATTCCAACCCATAGTGACCCTGTATAGGGTTTCCAAGCAGCAGCTGGTGAGCTTGAACCGCCAACCTTGCAGTTCAAATAGCTTTGTAGTCTGGAGCATTAACCCACAGCACCACACCAGGACAAGTCCTCAAAGTCGCCTTTTCAAAGTCCTCCTCGGAAACCCTACACTGGGTCTAAAACAACAACCAAAACAAGTCCTTGGGTGGTACAATGGTTAACACACTTGGCTGCAAACTAAAAAGTTAGAGATTCAAGTTCAACCTGAGGCACCTAGGAAAAAAGGCCTGGTGATCTACTTAAAAAAAAAAAAAAAAAATTCAGTCATTAAAAACCCTAGCGAGCACAGACAGTTCTACTCTGGTACGCATGGGGTTTCCATGAGTTGTAACAGAAACAACAGCAAGATAGGTATAGGATTGGGTATAAATGAAGCAGGTGTAAGCATTTAAAATGACTGAACCTAGGTTGTAAGGATTTACTTTTATCCAACCTATTTGTGTTTCGAAAAATTTTATAATAAAAAGCTTAAAAAGTTTTTAGCAACTTACGAAGTCATGTGCCCATTGATGTAATTCTGATTCAGTATGCGACCCCAGCAGCCTGCACCCACATCATTATTCAAAGTGCTGAAATCTTCAGAAGACCAAAGCTTCTTCTTGGTCAACTTTGCATCCCTTACTGTGTAGGTCCCAGGATAATGAGCCCTAGAAAAAGAAAGGGTGAGATGTCATGGAGACAGATCAGAATGTGGCACGAAGTGTGTCTCTTACATGAATAGAAATACATGTTATCCTCTAGGGTTCCTATTTTAAAACCGTGGACAGAGTCCACACATGCTGAATGTAGGCATCAGCTTCTCATCCCTCCTCCCAGGATCCCATTAAAATGATAGCAAGGAAAGAAAAACGTGGTGACTTATACGAGCACCTGGGCTAGGAAAGACTGCAGTGTATGGAGGCTGTCAATCCGTTCTGGAAACCTTAAAAGATAAGGTAGTCTGTTGATGAATGAAACCAGCAACTCCAGAAGACTCCAGGAAACCCAAACAGACACTCAAGTCAGACATTCCAATGGGAGCGAGAGAACTGAGTACCACAAGAAATAAGGGCATGATTAAGAAGGAGGCTACAAACAAGACTTATGAAAGTCTGTCTATAATGAACAGGAAGTGCCCCTTTCCCAACTCCTGCCACCAAAAGGAAACCAGCTTAGCATTTGCAGCAATTCCTTCTTGAAGAAAAAGAACATTCTAGCTTGGGAGAACTCAAAGTTATCACTCCAGAGCAGTGGTTCCCAACCTGGGCAATTAATTCTGTATTGTTGGCAGACATTCTCAACTATCATGCCAGAGAGGTGGGGGCGGGTGGAGTGGAGAGATGTTACTGGCTTCTTCTAGTGGGTAGAGACAAGGAATGCCACTAGCCATCCTACAGTGCACCACAGGATGGTCACTAGTAACGAAGAATCATCCTCCAATCCAATTAGTGGTGTGGAGGTTGAAAAACCCTGAATAGTAGCAAACCCTCCTCTCATCAGTCAGCTGACATATAAGGAATGAATTCCTTACATGACATTTAAGGAATGAATCAGGCCTATGAAACTTGGGACCTGGTCTTTATAAAAAGAAAAAAAAAAAAATCAAGTTCATTAAACAATGAAGAAGGAAGGAAATCTTTTAGACGTTAAAAAACTCAAAGGGCATAATGGCTATTTGCAATGCATGGTGCTTGCCTGAATCTTGGTTAAAAATTAACAACAGCGATAAATGACACTTTGGTGGATAACTAGGAAAACTCTGAACATAGATTAGGTCTTTGAAATATTGTCACAGGAGAAAATGATACTGTGATCATGTAGGAGATGGTCTTTATTTGGGGAGATGCCGGATAAAATAGTAGGAGTGAGGTATCATGACTTCAATGATTCATAATTCATTAGAAATAGATGTTGTTAGTTGTCATCAAGTTGATTCAGACTCCTGGAAATATTTATATCTTGCCAAATATTATTCAACTGCATGGCTTTTATGATGTATACATTATAGCTCAGTGGTGGTGGTGGTTATCTGTGTATCGATTACTGCAAGAGTAAAATATTGCCATTATGATGACTGTGTTAGCCATTGATGATATCACTAAGAACAATTAAGAAATTTCTATTACAAAGTAGAAAACAGATTACCTGAAGGTAGGTCAAAAGTATGTTATAAAATAACAGAAACTTTTATTATAAAATAAATATCAAAATGTAAAGTTATGTCTCTACATATCCTCCACCTTGATCTATACACTTTGGAATGAGGGCTTTCCATCTCTCTAACCCTTCTGGTGTGGCATGGTAGGATTAGCACTGGACTGTGAACCATAGGTCAGTAGTTCATATCCACCAGCTGCTCCTCAGAAACCCTATGTAGGGTCGCTGAGTTGGAACCAAATCGACCGCACTTAACATTTTCCAAAATATTCTGCAGTCTTGGATTTATAACAGATCAAAATGGCAGTCTGGGTATCATCAATTGACCTAAATAGTGTTCCTTTTAGATGTTCTTTGAGCTTTGAGAACAAGGAAAAGTCTGAAGGGGCAGGATCAGGGCTGTAGGGTGGATGGGGAAAGGTTTCCCATAGAAATTCTTGCAAGACAGCCTTTGCTACCCTCAAAGAGTGAGCTGGCACATTCTTGTGATGGAAACACAAAATTTTTCCAGTTTTTTCTCTCCGATGCAGTTTTCCATTTTCTTTAGCTTCTTCCTAATAAACCCTTGTGATCATCAAGTGTTCCTCAGATCACCTGGAAGTCACTGTTCTGACTGGACCTTTATTTGGAAGGCACTTTAATGAGACTAGCTGTGTTCCTGTGAGAACATGTCTGCAGATCACAGAGACATGTTTCAACATGCTTTGTTTGGAATAAGCCCATGCATGTATGAAGTAGAACCCTCGTATCATTAGTTCTTGACTTACTTTTGTACAATAAGAGAGTACATTAGCTAAATGGCTTTAGGGGAAAAAAAACTATACACTTTTTAGGTCAAAAGATATTTTTTGATAAATAAATATAACAAAGGTTTAGGTATAATAAAGCTTTATTTTTTAGTTATCTCAGTGCTGGTATGGTGCTGTGGGTTAATGCGCTGGACTGCAAAGTCAGTTTGAACCACAAGGTTGGCAGTTCAAGCTCACCAGTTGCACCTTGGAAACCCTATACAAGGTAACTATGGGTCGGAACTGACTCGACGGCACATAACAACAACAACAATTCCATTTAGGTCATAAATCTTTTAAGAAAAATTCCTATTTGGGAATTCGTTATGCATCGTGAAGATGACTTAGAATACAACATCAATATGGTTTCTCAGAATTGCATAAGAAGTTCAAAATCAGACAAAATGTGAGTGTATATCATCTTAAACCCAGACCAAATATAAAGGAATATAAAAAACATGAAGAAACTAACAAAGTGTTACAAACACTTCTGTTCCACTGAGATTTTGTTGGGTCACTGAATCAATATTGCAAATATGTACCATATATTCCCTGGAAGTAGTCTAGCACTTTTCAGAGCCAATCAGTTCTGACCAGGTGTAAAGGTTCTGAGGAACAGTGTTGGGTTTGAACCACTGACCGTAAGGTGAGTAATCCAGTGCTTATCCTACAGCACCATACCAGATTAAGAAATGATTGTTCTGACATTAGAATGGCCAACTTGGAAATTCTAACTATAATCTTTTAAATAATAAAATTTCCATTTTTTTTTTTAATTTTAGATTTATTCTTATATCACAGAACTTCATTGTATAATGGTGACAATAAACTTTGGCCTCAAATATTACATTTAATACAAATCTAGTTGTCATCAGCCAAATATCTTTCATGTAGATCCAGTTACATATGTTTGTATAGGAGAAACAAACAAACAATCCCTTAGAAGTAGGATACCATGATGCTACCAATGATCTCTAGATGTTAGAACTATTGTTGCTGTTGTTAAGTGCTATCAAGTCTGTACCGACTTACAGCAACTTGTATAAGGTTTTCAAGGAGTTGCTGGTGAGTTTGAACAGCTGACCTTGTCATTCAAACCAACCTTGCCTTCCAGTGATTTAGCCCAAGTGCCACACGAGCTAAGTCTAGTTCTATCTTACTCTTGGTGTGGTGCTGTAGGGTAAGCACTAGACTGCTAACCTCACAGTCAGTGGTTCAAACCCAACAACTGCTCCTCAGAAACCTTATACAGGGTCAGAACTAACTTGACAGCACTCAGCAATTCTACCTTTCTAGTATCGTACATTTTTCAATGTTTTCTATAATGAGCATGTTATTTTCTATAATCTGAGAAACAAATCTTTAGTGAAGTTATGGAAGTCAGCGTTATAGTCCTTCAGAAAATGACGAAATTGTTGCATTAAGTACAAAACCAAAGTGACTTGCTAAATGGTCTGAGTACAGAGAGCAGAAGTAGGACAGCTCCATCTTGGAGTTATTGTGGGTGTACTGGAATAATGACGGATTGCATTAGGCAAATCTGCTGTACAAAACCTCTTCAAAGTGTTCAAGAGCAAAGATGTCAGCATGAGGACTAAAGTGCACCTGACCCACATCATGATATTTTCAATCACCTCATATGCATGTGAAAGTTGGATAATGAATAAGGAAGACCACAGAATAACTGATACATTTTGAGTTGTGGTGTTGGAAAAGAATATTAAATGTACCATGGACGGCCAGAAAAACAAATAAATCTGTGTTGGAAGAAGTACAGCCACAATGATCCTTAGAAGCCAGGATGACCAGACTTGATTTTAGATATATTACCAGGAGGGACCAGTCCCTGTAGAAGGACATCCTGCTAGTAAAGTAGAGGGTCAGTGAAAAAGAGGAAGAGCCCAATGAGATGGACTGGCACAGTGGCAGCAGCAATGGCTTCAGATATAGCAACGATTGTGAGGCTGAAGCAGGACAGGGCAGTGTTTTGTTCTGTTGTTCATACGGTCACTATGAGTCGGAACTAACACAACAGTACCTAACAACAACAACGTTGGGATCAAGAAAAGCATATGGAACAACAGGATAAAATTGAGAGTCTAGAAAAAAAAAATCCATACATCTATAGTCAATTGATTTTCTAAAAGGATGTCATAATGCTCACTCAATGGAGAAAGAATGGCCTCTTCAATTATTCTTGATAGGTGCTGGAAAACTGGATATCCACAAGGAATTATGTGTGACTGTTAACTTATACCACATATAAAAACAAACTTAAAATGGACCAAAGATCTAAATACTGGAGTTAGGACATAACACTTAGAAGAAAACATAAAGAGAACTATCCATAACCTTAGACTGGGCAGTGATTTCTTAGCTATGACACCAAAAGCACAAGCAACAAAAGAACTAATAAACTGGACTTGATTAAACTAAAAACATGTGTATCCAACTTTATTATTTCACTTAATTATCAATAAAGTGAAAAGACAATCCACAGGATGAAAGAAAATATTTGCAAATCACATATCTGCTAAGACGCTTATATCAGGAAAGACACAAACAATACATTTAGAAAAATAAAAGATGTGAATGGATATTCACAAAGAAGACACACAAATGGCCAATAAGCACATGAAAAGATCTTTACTTAACGTCAATTTCGTTGTGCACCTTGGAGTTAGTTAACTCCAGCTCATAGTGACCCTGTCAGACACAGGAGA